GGGTTTAGCCGCACGTCTCTCAAGACGGCTAAACCCGAATGATTCTAGGTCTAGGTCTTGTGTTAGTTCTAATGCAAAACTAGAACTAACACTAGACCTAGAACTAGAAACATTCGGGTTTAGCCGCACGTCTCTCAAGACGGCTAAACCCGAATGTTTCTAGTTCGAGGTCTAATGTTAGTTCTAGTGATAGTATAAAACTAGTACTAACACTAGACCTAGAACTAGAAAGTATCGGGTTTAGCCGTGCGTCTTCAGACCATACTCAAAGTGGAATTTCTACATCAGTGGTTTTCAACTTTTTCGTGGTGGCGGAACATTTTTAACAGTAATAAAAAATAGCAGAACACCATCTTTAGTTAGAAAGGCTAAGAGTATCTATCTTGAAAAAATTCAATAAAGGACACCATTAACAATAGCTATATTAATTTTAAAAGTTAACTTGTCGAGTCTTGCAGATATCCCTGATATTTGGCCTTATATGCGATAATGCTACTCTCATTTCATCTTCTAAATTGCTTAATCTTTCCCTTTTTTAGTTTTTATGTTGGTCAGTGTGGAAAATCCGAGCTCACATAGATACGACGTCGAAAATAGTAGCAAAATATTAAGTGCCTTTTTAGATATTCCCTTTGAGCAAATATCCAAAATTGTTCAAGACCTACCTCTTCAAATTTCATTTTTAATGTACGATAAGATGATGAAGAAATAAAATCTTTACAAAATGGATTTCGTATCCAATCATATTTTTCTACATTAAGAGATGGTAAATAACTAACTATTTAAAAATACTAGATAAATGTTCTGCAATTATAGAAATAATTTCGGTTGCATCTTCACTTGAAATGAAATTAATGGAAACATATCGACTGTCCTTTTTTTCTAATATTCGATTATTCCAAAATGAAATTTTGTTCTGGAATGTTAGCAATTTATCAGTGCAAGTTAAAATGTTTTTTTAACTACAGATATCACTTGTTCTAACACTCATTTTAGATTTATTGCTAATGTTTTGGAAACCAATGCTTCTCTATGTAAGAAACAACGCATGTATACAAAGTGAGCATTTGTTCATAGATGGAACTCCATCTGTACAAATTCCTACGAAGCAGTTCCACGACAAGTTGAATTCTTCTAAATATGAATTGATGCTGTCATATATAGGGTGAGTTATTAGCATCCAGGCGGACGATCCTTGCTAAACCGTTTGAGAAAGAAAAAAATGTTTTATACAAAAGTAGTTTGACGATTTCGAATCTCATAAAGTACTAAGTCGTATTAAAATTTGGTATATCGGCACGAAATTATTTTACATTATAAAATATTAATCAAATAATAAAAGAAAGGACAAGAAAACTGATCAAAATAGACAGAATATAATATTAAGTACAATAACGCATGTTTTATTACAAATTATTCTTTAAATTCTAAATATCAGGAAAACTATTAAAGTTAGGCATATGACATACCTATCATTAATTAAAGAGAACTTGATGGGGAATTCAACCAGCACACAATATACAGGATGTTCCGTTTAAAAATCTTAAGAAAAAGCCATTTGAAAAACATCAAAAGTAACAAAACTTTATAATCACGCTGTATAGTGTATCTAATATCTTTGGATACTATCATCTACCTACTGGCTTTGACTATTGTGTGACGTAGTTTCAAGGTCAAACTGGAAAAAATGTCATCGTTTTTAAAAAGATCCTGTAATGGGCACATTTTGGAAGAACAATTGAATATCTCAGGAACTATGAACGCTGTGAAATAGTAACATATACGGTTGTATAAATAAATTTAGTTGCATTCATAATATGATGAAATATACAGGATGTTCCATTTCAATAAATTTATGTACTCTCCTTACGCTTAAATGGAACACCCTGTATAAGTGAAAATAATTTTACGTAATAAATAGTCATGAGTCAAACAACTTTTGTATAAAAATTTTTTTTCTTTTTCAAGCGGTTTAGTAACTATCGACCGCGGGGATAATAATAACTCACCCTGTATATCTTGGCCTGTTTTTTGGATTTAGATATCTTGTGATATATCTACAATTCTTCTTTTAACTGTATCATCCTTCCGCTACTTTATACGACGCTATTTGCGCCTTGTCAGAAACTGTAACTGTCTTCTGAAAATGTTTTCCTTGTTCCTCCTTATTTTTAGATGATAAATTATTATGTTTTAATTTCGCAGGAACCTTTGCTGTATTTGTAAGTTGTTCTTCACATACAATACATTTTGGAATCTGACTCCAAGATACTTTATTTCCACACCAGGTAAATCCAAAATGTCGTCGATTTTTTTGTACGTTTTGGTTCATTTGTTGTATCAGGTATAGATTTAAGGTTATCTTTAGTTTATAGATGGTAAACAACGACAGTTTAGTCGTTTTGCGTCGAAAACCTAAGAACCAACCGTATTTCACCCGAAAATATGCGTTTTAACGAAAATATACAGGGGCCCTGATATGTATGGAAACGGTCTATTGTCTCCTAAAGTAAGATAGCTAGCGAAAAATGTTAAGATACAAAAGATTGATTGTTTATTAAAATCTATTACAATAAAGACAAATTAAGTATACAGGATCAGTCAAAAAGTTATGACGAAACAAAATTACGTTTTCTTTAATGGAACACCTGTATATTATTTCATATTTCAAATTATTTTCTTATGAGATGAGAAATTTTCAAAGGTCGACAAAATCGACTAAAATATTTTTGTGTTATTTATAAGATTAATTTAAAAGTTGAATATCTCGAAAATGGTTAAGTTTAGGTGTATGATGTGCTACATAAATTTTGTTTAGAATTTCAAGATGAACCGAAATATGAAATAATATACAGGGTGTTCCATTAAAGAAAAAGTAATTTAGTTTCGCCAAAACGTTTTGATTGACTCTGTATAGTTAATTCATCTTTATTATAATAGGTTTTAAAAAATACTAAAATTTTTGTATCTTAACATTTTTTGCTAGCTATCTTACTTTAGGAGATAACCGAGCGTTTCCGTATATATTAGCGACCTTGCATGGTCGATGACGTCACAAAAAGTGACGTCATACTGTTTTTTGAACTTAATTTTTTATTAGTTTTACCAAATTTTCATTTAAGAAAGTTTCCACGCTTCTGGACAGTTCCGCCGCGTCCGAAAGATATACGAGTGCGTTCTAATCATTTCGCTGAACATCTGAACAGGTCAATTATCTCCTAAAGTAAGATAGTTAGCGAAAAATGTTAAGATACAAAAGATTGAGTGTTTATTAAAATCTATTACAATAAAGACAAATTAAGTATACAGGATCAGTCAAAAAGTTATGACGAAACAAAGCTACGTTTTCTTTAATGGAACATCCTGTATATTATTTCATATTTCATTTCATCTCGAAATTCTAAACAAAATTTATTTAGCACATCATAGACCTAAACTTAACCGTTTTTCAGATATCGAGCTTTTAAAAATTTACGAATTTATCTAATTAGTGACGTAATTTTTTGTAATCAATCGACTTTGGGCGCAAATTATTTTCTTATGAGATGAGAAATTTTCAAAGGTAGACAAAATCGACTAAAATATTTTTGTGTTATTTATAAGAGTAATTTCAAAGTTGAATATCTCGAAAATGGTTAAGTTTAGGTGTATGATGTGCTACATAAATTTTGTGTAGAATTTCAAGATGAACCGAAATATGAAATAATATACAGGATGTTCCATTAAAGAAAAAATAATTTTGTTTCGCCATAACGTTTTGATTGACTCTGTATAGTTAATTCATCTTTTTTATAATAGGTTTTAAAAAATACTAAAACTTGTATCTTAATATATTTCGCTAGCTATCTTACTTTAGGAGATAACCGACCGTGTCCGTACATATTAACGACCCTGTATGGTAGATGACGTCACAAAAAGTGACGTCATACTGTTTTTTGAACTTAATTTTTTAAGATATACGAGTGCGTTCTAATCATTTCGCTGAACATCTGAACAGGTCAATTATCTCCTAAAGTAAGATAGTTAGCGAAAAATGTTAAGATACAAAAGATTGAGTGTTTATTAAAATCTATTACGATAAAGACAAATTAAGTATACAGGATCAGTCAAAAAGTTATGACGAAACAAAGCTACGTTTTCTTTAATGGAACATCCTGTATATTATATCATATTTTAGTTTATCTCGAAATTCTAAACAAAATTTATTTAGCACATCATAGACCTAAACTTAACCGTTTTTCAGATATCGAGCTTTTAAAAATTTACGAATTTATCTAATTAATGACGTAATTTTTTGTAATCAATCGGCTTTGGGCGCAAATTATTTTCTTATGAGATGAGAAATTTTCAAAGGTCGACAAAATCGACTAAAATATTTTTGTGTAATATATAAGAGTAATTTCAAAGTTGAATATCTCGAAAATGGTTAAGTTTAGGTGTATGATGTGCTACATAAATTTTGTTTAGAATTTCAAGATGAACCGAAATATGAAATAATATACAGGTGTTCCATTAAAGAAAAAATAATTTAATTTCGCAATAACGTTTTGATTGACTTTGTATAGTTAATTTATCTTTATTGTAATAGGTTTTAAAAAATACTAAAACTTGTATCTTAATATATTTCGTTAGCTATCTTACTTTAGGAGATAACCGACCGTTTCCTTACATATTAGCGACCCTGTATGGTCGATGACGTCACAAAAAGTGACGTCATACTGTTTTTTGAACTTAATTTTTTATTAGTTTTACCAAATTTTCATTTAAGAAAGTTTCCACGCTTCTGGACAGTTCCGCCGCGTCCGAAAGATATACGAGTGCGTTCTAATCATTTCGCTGAAAGTAAGATAGTTAGCGAAAAATGTTAAGATACAAAAGATTGAGTGTTTATTAAAATCTATTACAATAAAGACAAATTAAGTATACAGGATCAGTCAAAAAGTTATGACGAAACAAAGCTACGTTTTCTTTAATGGAACATCCTGTATATTATTTCATATTTCATTTCATCTCGAAATTCTAAACAAAATTTATTTAGCACATCATAGACCTAAACTTAACCGTTTTTCAGATATCGAGCTTTTAAAAATTTACGAATTTATCTAATTAATGACGTAATTTTTTGTAATCAATCGACTTTGGGCGCAAATTATTTTCTTATGAGATGAGAAATTTTCAAAGGTCGACAAAATCGACTAAAATATTTTTGTGTTATTTATAAGAGTAATTTCAAAGTTGAATATCTCGAAAATGGTTAAGTTTAGGTGTATGATGTGCTACATAAATTTTGTTTAGAATTTCAAGATGTGTTCCATTAAAGAAAAAATAATTTTGTTTTGCCATAACGTTTTGATTGACTCTGTACAGTTAATTCATCTTTATTATAATAGGTTTTAAAAAAGACTAAAACTTTTGTATGTTTTTTCTATTTGTAACGGCTTATTTGAGTGATTTCCACATGGTGATTCTTGAATTACACCGGAAAGTTTTTAGTTTACATCACAAATCGTTTCTTATCAATTCATATTAAATTTCAATTCTCTTTTTCCTGGTTAAAGTTAGTCATACATTCTTTTGGTGATTAGATATTTTATTGCTAGGTGAATGGTGATGTAAACTAAAAATTTTCCACTAATATACCTACTTAAAACAAAAAATAGTTTTGCAATGAGTACAAACAGATCGTTTGGCCTTTAATTCTCTACTCCTAATAACAACTTGACAATTAGGTCCTGGACAAAAGCGTAGTTGAGGATGAGATTTAACATAATCTTGAAAAGTAAATTGCTGGTACTTTTCGCGCAAATTCGGCTTGGAAAGGTGTTTGAGGACAAAATCCTCAGGCGCGAGGACTTCACAGTCGCGCGCCATACAACTGATGGCAGTGGAAATTCCCTGATTAATCTGCACCTCGAAGTGCATTGTCCAGCAGTCCTTGCAAAACAAATGGGCGCATGATAAATGACAAAAACTCTGACTGACTTGGGGACTGACACAAACAGGACATGTTGCATATCTTGTGTATGTAAATGTTGTTGGAATAGCTGCTGGTTTTATTTTTGATGAAACTAGCAAAGCGCTGGGGTTCTCGCGATATTTTGACACAATATCTGACACTGACCAATTATGTGCATGTAATAGTACCTACAAAAATAATAATGTTAAACTAACTTTGCTTAAAAAACGTTTTATTTACTTTACCTTTGCAAGAGAAGGTGTTATTTGTAATGTGGTACTCAACAAAGCGACTGTTTCATTCAAAAGCTGCTCAACTTGCACTTCTGTAAGGCATTCATACAGGAAATACTCTGGATCTGTCTCACTAGGGTCAATTTGCTCCATATCATTGTCTTCAGGGATATTGTAATAATCATAATCGTCATAACACTCGTTTTCATTGTCTGAACAGTCCATGTCTGATTCAGTGTCTTGCCGATCTGCTTCCATTTTTACTCACGTTATTAGCTCCTGTTCCAATTATACACCCATTCCTTTTTTAATTAATTTATAATTTTTTCTTTTTTTTCACTTATACGCCATATTAATTATGTTCCGATCATATGTTCACCATCTGCCAAATTGTTGTTATATTTATCGATAATGTAGAACTCTAGTTCTAACTGCAGCGTTACCAATCGAATTAAAATCCCCTAAATAATTTATTTTCGACTAATTCATCCAAATTTATGTTTAAATGTGGTTTAAATGTATTTTATCCACGTCACGAAGTTCGAATGACCCCTTTATATTTGCCATCGTGACGTTTTTCATCGTCTTTATTCTTAATGATTCTTTTAATTTGGTCTAAAACTTTAGTTGATGTTGTTTAAATAAATTTTTATTGTATTAATATAATAATAATGGTTATTAAATGAAATAAAAAGTAATTTATAAAAAATTTTTTTGTTTTATATAAGTTGGCAGCATTGATCGTCGATTAAGTCAAATGACAGCACATACTATCCTGTTTTTCTATAAGGTGCTTATAAATTTGCAAACAATTATTCGCTAATTAACGCAAAATATGTTTTAGTTGAAATTGCATATCCACTACGATAAGGTCTACCCACTATGTCCAATTTTCACAGGGTCGAGGTGAACAGAACCGTTTGGGAAGTGCCTGACAGGTACCAACAGCTGAACGCGGTTGGATCTGGGGCCTACGGCCAAGTATGGTACGAATTTTACGAAAAATCTAATTACAATATCAAATTTTCCACTCATTTATCTAATTTTATGATCAAAAAAAAAAAAAAATTTTTAAGGTGTTTGAAATTTTAGGTTGAGCCCCAAATCAACCTAAAAATAAAATAATGGTTATTTCATCATTTCATCATAAACCAACTTCTTATTTAACATTTTATGAACAATATTTTATTTAACAGTTCAGCCTTAGATACAAGCACAAATACAAAGGTAGCTATCAAGAAGTTAGCCCGTCCATTTCAATCAGCTGTTCATGCCAAACGTACCTACCGTGAATTAAAATTGCTCAAACACATGAAACATGAAAATGTTATAGGTTTGTTAGATGTTTTCTATCCACATAATGACACTAGTCAGGTAAAACAGATTTAATCTAACATACAGTGTGCTCCAGGATAGATGTTACAAGTTTAAACATTTTTTAATTTTATTTTAAGGCGCAAGAATTAAGCCCTGCTTGGTGTGAAGAGAATTTTAAGAAAATTTTCATATCAAAAACTATTCTTAATGTAGGTAAAGTAACCTTTTTGTTCATGATACCGAAAAATTTTATTAAGAAAAGTTGTTCAGAATGAGAAATTATGACACTATGCAAAATTTCATTACTTTGGTTGAACCATCACATTGAGAAAATATAGATGGTACAGGAATTAGTATCTCTTTTAGGTGTGGGATAATTTATTTATTTATTTGTAATCTTTGAGATGCAAACAATTATTAACATAAATGTTAATAATAATAACAAAATAAATAAATATATATATATAAAAGTAAACAAAAACAAGCAAAGGGGAAAAAAGAAAAATTAACAAAAAATAAAGTAATAACAAAATCAAAATGACAATATGTATAATGATATTAATAATGATATCAATATCAATGACTCACTCAGCTGGCTGGCAATGCAAGTGGCGAATGTTTTTCTTGAATGTCGCCCTAGAGGCGTGATATAATAATCAAGTTCACCCCAATAGGACTTTTTTCATTTAATACAACTTTATTTATATCAGGTTTATCTTTAGCAACCTCATTGTAACAATCCCAATACGATATATCTTGGAATATGAGTATGAAAATATCCCAAAGTGTTAATAAGAGTGTCCTCTTTCCAATGAACCAACCCGTTTTGAAAAATAACTTTTAGTTTTTGAGAAAACAATATTTGAAGTTTTGATAAAATTGTCAAAATTCGCTATAAAATTAATTTCTTGAAGGATCCTTGCGGAAATATCACCAATTATTAATTAAAGTACCCCCTTTTTAACGCAAAAAGCCGTTTTGAAAAATAACTTTTAGTTCTTGAGAAATAAATTTTTGAAATAATCGATTTTGCAATTTTCGCCGATTAAGTTTTAAAAATTCGTATGAAATCCACTTATTGGAATATGAGTATGAAAATATCCCAAAGTGTTAATAAGAGTGTCCTGTTTCTAATGAACCAACCCGTTTTGAAAAATAACTTTTAGTTTTTGAGAAAACAATATTTGAAATTTCGATGTTGCGATAATATTCAAAATTCACTATAAAATTAATTTTTTGTAGGATCCTTGTGGAAATATCACCAATTATTAATTAAAGTATCCTCTCTTTAATGCAAAAAGCCGTTTTGAAAAATCACTTTTAGTTGTTGAGAAATAAATTTTTGAAATAATAGATTTTGCTATTTTCGCCGATTAAGTTTTAAAAATTCGTATAAAATCCACTTATTGGAATATGAGTATGAAAATTTCCCAAAGTGTTAATAAAAGTGTCTTCTTTCCAATGAACCAACCCGTTTTGAAAAATAACTTTTAGTTTTTGAGAAAACAATATTTGAAGTTTTGATAAAATTTTCGATGTTGCAATTTTCATCGATAATTTTCAAAATTCGCTATAAAATTAATTTCTTGAAGGATCCTTGTGGAAATATCACCAATTATTAATTAAAGTATCCTCTTTTTAATGCAACAAGCCGTTTTGAAAAATCACTTTTAGTTCTTGAAAAATACATTTTTTATAATATTAATATAACATATATATGAGTCTTCCTGCCCGTGACTTGAATTCTGTTTGGTTTTCGGTCTTCTCAATTGGGCCTCATTTTTTAAGCAGTGTGAGCCGTGTGATGGGACTGTGGGTGAGGGAGAGGAGAGTGACGATGAAATTTTTTAGGACGTTTATGGGGAAGTTTGGAGGAATCTTTGTAAGGTCGTATAGGAGTTCGTTGGAAGGGTTGAAAAGTGGGTTGTGAGGGTGTCTAATGCGAGTGATGATTCTCAGGGCTGCTCTGTCTGCTATCTCCAGATGGTACTGTGATCCTCTTGGCGCTTCAGTCATGATTAATGAGGCATATTAATAGGTCGGCATATTGAAGTGTATATGTGAGTAGCGCAATTGGTGGATATTCCTCGACCTCTATAGGACAGTGGTTTTACTTTAATCGCGTGGGCAGAGAATTTAAGGATAATGCCGAGGTAGTTGCAAGTTGGTGAAGTTGTGATAGGAGAAGGTTGAATTATTATTGTGGGAGGAGCAACGCGAGCAGGGAGGAAGGGGATGAAAAATTGGGCTTTGGAAGGATTTATTAAGATACGCCATTTTCGGTACCATTCTATGTTTTAAATAAGCGTCTGCAGCCTTAGGACTGATGATGGAATGTCCACATCGTCGGCATAAAGTAGAGCGTAAGACTTCAGTCGTGGCAGTAGACATTGTACAGTGCTGGCGAGATGGGAGAGTTTTGGAAATTTGAAACAAGCACTGCCAAGGGATGAGATGTAGATCTACCCTATTGGAATCCAAATTGGATTGACGGAATCCTCTTTGCAACAACATCGAACAGCTTGTTCTTCAAGTGTATCTCGAAGAGCTTCCCCATTACGGGTAGCAATGAGATAAGACGGTAGTTCGCAGAGGCGGATAGAGAAGAATCTTTCTTGGGGATGCATATGATGATAGAGGTCTTCCAATGCTGAAGGAAAACACCCTCTCAAGGTATTCAGCGTGGATATTTACGATTTTTTCCGGACTATAGTGTGAGCAGCCTTTTAGCACTTCCAAAGCTTGCGGACTTCTTGCCAGTAGTTTTTACCCTTGCTTCTGTTGCTGCACTAGCTTTTGATGTTTTTATTAAGCTCGTTGAACTTTCTTTTCAGAGCAGGCTCCTCATACGATCTAAAATCGCGGTAGAGTCGTCGCTTTTCCTTGATTAAACGGAGAATAAATGGTGGCAGAAGGAAATTGTAATGATTCTTAATAATGAAGGGGCTCGCTTCATCCACCAAATTTAGCAAGCGTTATTATTATAACAGGGTTAGATTTTACATATTCCTTTATTCCTGTGTTCACTCTTTCCATATTACAAAGCTTATAGTTTTTGATTAAGGTAGGAGCTACTTTAAGTATTCGAGTGGTTGTATTAATGCAGATCACGAGACCCAGATGGTCAGAGCACAGATCAGGAACGACATTAACAGACGTCATGTTGTTTGTGCAGAAGATTAAATCAGGCTTGGGGTTGGGATTATTTTCCATGACAAACGTCGGAGGTGTTGCGATGCGCACAAAATTTGACATAGTCACAAATTGGCTGGGTTGGGGTAAAACTCACCAATTATTACACAATTGTCATACCGGGCAGCCATGTTAAATATTGTTTCTTCTATCTTACTGAAAGGATGTATATAAACCAACAGTGTATGTACTCTTTCTGTGTCAATCATAAAAGTAAAGTGGAGGGCGTTGTTTAGTGGAGAATTTATTCTAGGAGGATTAGATTTTCCAATTTGTAGTGTTTCCCAGTTCTTGGATCATTTAGTAGTAATATAGTTTCCAATTAAGTGTTTTTTTTGAACATAGCTATTAATGTTTGCATACAGTAACTTGATTTCAGTCATTGCTGTTCTTGCAAAATCATGGTTTGGGTGCGGTGGATCGGTTCGGTGGGTGAAGGTTTATTTGCGTCTTATAGGTCGATCATGATAATATGTAGCTCCCTGAAAAAGCAACGATTGTATCGATTCGAGCTCAATAAATCTGCGTTTTATGGCATTTAAAAGACCTACACTTCTCTGGTAGTTGGGAGGTACAGTCGTGTTCATGGGAAATGCGCGCTCAAGGTCAAGCGCTGTTGCCGCTGGCTAAACGAGCTGAGCCGAGCGCACACGAAGCTCGTAGCTCGTGCCAACTTTTAATATACTATATATTAAATATATTTCCGATATCCGGCTATTCACAAAATTTTGCACAGTGCCATAATTCCTCGTTCTGAACAATTTTTCTTAATGAAATTTTATCGTATCATGAACAAAAAGCTTAACTAAAAATACTTTTTGTTTCACTGCGATGCCCGAGATGATTTTCAAAATATGCTTAATATCCTTAAAATAAAATTAAAAAATTTTTTTTATTGTAACATCTATCCTGGGACACACTGTATTTGTAATTAATTAATAAAATGAAATAAATAGATTTACCTTGTCACTCATTTGATGGGAGCAGATTTAAACAATATAATTCGTACACAACGACTCTCAGATGAGCATGTCCAGTTTTTGGTATATCAAATTTTGAGAGGGCTTAAATACATTCATTCCGCGGGCGTTATCCATCGGGATTTAAAGCCGTCAAATATCGCTGTTAATGAGGATTGCGAATTAAAGATCCTCGATTTTGGCCTTGCCCGACCTACGGAGACTGAAATGACGGGTTACGTCGCCACGCGGTGGTACCGCGCACCCGAAATCATGCTCAATTGGATGCACTATAATCAGACCGTTGATATTTGGTCTGTTGGATGTATTATGGCAGAGTTACTTACTGGTAGAACTTTATTTCCTGGCACAGATCGTATCCTTACTATAAATATTAAATTGTTTTTTAAATCATTTATTTTTCTTATCAAAATTGTTAGACATACATCAACTTAATTTGATTATGGAAATTTTGGGAACACCGACTGATGAGTTTATGAAAAAAATTACTTCACAAAGTGTAAGTATTTATTAAAATTTATATTTATCAACAAAACTAATCAAGAAGTGTGTTTTTAACAGGCTAGAAGTTACATCGAATCATTACCACCAGTACACAAAAAAGATTTAAAGCAAGTTTTTACCGGCGCTAATCATTTAGCAATAGACCTACTCAGGTTGATGTTGGAGCTGGATAGTGATGTTCGTATAACAGCTGAGCAAGCTTTAGCTCATCCATATTTAGCACAATATGCGGATCCGACTGATGAACCTACTTCCCAACCTTACGATCATAGTATTGAAGATATGGAGCTCCCTGTAGAACGGTGGAGAGGTAAAAATATGCAATTTCGCACCTATGTGAAATTAGCCCCGATTTAGATAGGATTATCTCGTATATTAAATGTACAACTTATTATAGCATTTACTGCGTTGTGTCTTGGAATGCAAAACACTTAGTCCACATATTTCACTATTTTAAATATTCTCATCCATTTCTCTATGCAGGTTTGAGATTTCCATGCATCAATTTCACACTTTATGATGTCTTTAATATGGCAGAATCGATTGTACAATACATGTTCAGTGAAAGGAATTATACTTTTTAATGATTCTAAACATCTCCACGGACCTTTTTTTAAGATAGTCCCATAAATGTTCTATGGGATTTAGATCGGAACTGTTAGGTGGCCAATCCATGAACTGAATATCAACAGCATGCAAGTAGTCAATAACTTGTCTAGTCACATGAGGACGTGCATTATTGCATGAATACAAAATTAGGACCCAAAAAAGGAGCAAATGGCATTACGTGTTCAAGTACGATGTTTTCCAGGTAATAATCCGCATTCATAGACCTCGCACGTATAGGGACCAACGCTGTGCGAGTATTGAAGCAGATGGCTCCCCAAAACATTACAGAGCCGCCACCAAGCAGCACCCTTGGAGCAAATCTCTCTCCTTGTCTTCGCCATACACACTCAAGAAAGTCCATCAAGAAATTTTAAGCTAATCCTCGTTTCGTCAGAGAATAAAATCTTATTCCAATCATTAACAGAACAATGTTGGTGATTTCGGGCAAAACGCTTTGTGCTCTCTGGTAAATAATGTTTTTTTTTGATAGTCTCCTGTTCTTTAATTCGGCTTCATTTAATCATCTTTCGATTGTTCGAGACAATATTGCAACATTACGAATCTCTAATAACTGATTTTTTAACACATTACTAGTGCTTGTCCAATTTCTAAGAGCGTATACTCGCAGAAAACAGTCATCCCTTTGATGGGTACATCGTTTTCGTTAAGTTTCGATAAACCGTCTAATCATACGACTTATGCTGGAATGATTCCTTCCTAACACATTGGCAACATAACGCACCGAGTACCCTTCATCCCATACTGCCTCTGCCACCGATAAATTTCTTTGGTGATTCATTTTTCGCACTGGTAGATGAAACTAAACACGTACGTGAAAATCAATCATACGCAAAAGCTTTACTCTTACAGCAAAATTGTCTAAACCGTAACTTTTTGAAAAAAAAAACGAGAGAGTTTTAATGAAAAGCGATTTTAACCATAGCCATGATCCATAGCCTACTAGCAGTAAAGCTAGTAAATTACAACTTATCATTAATTAAAAAATACTGGAGTAAGTGGGGCGTTAATTTTGTCCAGGAGTTTATTTGCGATTCTAACTGACAATTTCGCAAAATTTCCCTTGTTTTTGATCAACACTAACTTCTAATATTGTGAGAGAGAGAAAACAAATTTTATTTTTGGATGTGCAAAAAATACAAATAAATTAAAAAAAAAGTTATAAATTAAAACTCAGCCAAAAATAGGGCTATCGATCGGAGTATTTCTGCCCATGCAAGATCTAGTTAGCTGCAGCTTCAGTCTTCTCTGTTCATCAACAGTTTTTGAAGGAGAGATGGGTAGTTTACTCTAGGGATAATGAGCATATGGTGGAGAAGGTTAGTAGGGAAATTTAAGGTAGTTTTATGAGATAAAGATTGTAGACGGAAGATAATGAGTGAGGTTATAAAGGAGATCATTGCTAGGGTTGAAAAGAGGATTCCTTATTCGTGTTATGAACCTCAATGCCGATCTTTCTGCGACTTCTAAATGGTGTCTTGATGTTCTAGGCGCATCGTTTAGATCCATATTCTATAATTGCATATGGATTTGTAAATGTGCGAGGCACATGAAGTGAAATTCGAGTTTTCACTTTGATGGCGTGGGCAGAGAATTTTAGGGTTCTGTCGAGTGTTATGCCTAGGTATTTGTAGGTTGGTGAGGCTGAGAGGGGAGTTGATTGGACTGTGATTGTAGGAGAAGGGGCGTGGAATTACGATTTTGAGGAGTTGATTTGAATCCGCCATTTTCGGTACCAGTTCTCTGTTTCATCGATAAGCACCTGTAGCTTTTGGACCGAAGAGGCAACGTCCCTGTATATTTATTAGTATATTTATTCACATCAAAGGCGTCTGGATTGTTGTCGTAAATATCGTGGCAGAAGACGTTGTATAGAGAGGGAGAGATGGGAGATACCTGCGGGAGTTATGGTTTTTCAGCTTCACAGAACAAGAGCGATCTAAAAGGAATTGCCTTATCAAGTTTAGGAGGTAATATGCTCCTATAGGCCTTTGTGCCAGACTGATTGTGAGTAGAAAGCCTTTCGGACATCCAGAAACACAGCCGTGGATTTACGTTTTTGATAACGTGCCGCTTGAAAATTGGAAACCAATACCGTAAGTGACTGGGATGTGGATTTGGCGGGTTGGAATCCAAATTGGTAGGGTGATCTTGAGATGTGTCTCGAAAAGCTTTCCTATCACTGGCTGCAGTGAGCTGGGTCGGAAAGTCTGGAATGTTGACTCACGAGGCAGAAGTTAATTATTTCCCTGATGTGGGTGTGAATATCAAGGTCCAAGCTTCTCAACACCTTCCTCGAGATGTTATCATAACCAGGAGCCGTGTTCTTTCCTTGGTCTAGAAGAGTGAAATACTCGTCCTCCAGCATAATTGCATCCTCAGGTGTTTCAGAGGGATTTATAAAAGCAAGTTGATACCAGTTGTCTATTGTGCTTTTGTTCTGGGAACAAAATGAGGCATCCTCAGCACACGAAAATATTCTTTCCAGGTTCTTTCCGGTCAGCATGGATGTTAACAATCTCTTCAGGGTTCAAAAGTGGGATCTTTTGTTTCAGAAAGCTTTTGGTATCTAGATACTTTACGAACTTCCTGTCAATAATTTTTCCCCTTACATGAATTGATTTTGTCGCAGGCTTCCATATATTTCTCCGTTCTATATTGCTGTACTAGTTTTTGTTGAGCTCGTTAAACTTTTATTTCAGTTCAGAGATCTCGCATGCTCTAAAGTCTCGGTACAGCCGTTTCTTATCTTTGATTAGGCGGATAATGAATGGTGGTAACGGAAAGGTGATGATTTCTTAAGTTTTTCATTAAACTTTGATATCACCTCCGGTGTAAGTACAGGATTTGCTCTTATGAAGTCTTTTATTGCTAAGTTGACTCTCTCCGTGTTGCAAAGTTTGTAATTTTTAGTTATAGTTGGAGCAGGTTTAGATTGGAACTTTGATGTTGTGTTGATGTGAACAAGAATCCTCTACCAGGATGATTCTGTCTCATATTTTTTGTGCAGAAAAGCAGGTCTGGAGTAGAGTATGTCGGAGGTGTCTTGATTTGTACAAAATTTTACAAAGATAGGAATTGGCTGATGTGTCTAATCTTAGCTGGATTCTGGCTAAAGTCGAACGGATGGATGTAAATCAGGAATATGTGTAGTCTGTTCGCGCCAAGCATAACGGTGAAGTGGAGAGCATTATTCAATGCCCCATAACCGCTGCTCCGCCTCTGTCGCCCCTATTAACATATAATAATAATAATAGGACTTTATTTCCCACAGGTACCACCCAGTTACAGGAAAAAAAATATATAACATCACAATATTTAAATTAACTAAATGAAAAAGATATAGCTATAAGCAAAAATACAAACTAATATAACCTAATAAACTAATCGTAATCATAACTACTAATAATCTACTGCATGCCGAAATGATCCAAAATTACCGCAACCACCGTGTTCAAGGAATCAAAAAACATATCGCAATGCGGCGAAACCTGATTGCCGTAATCGGACATTAACGAGACAGGAGATTTTCGTAAAGTGTTACTATTACTACGGCAATTATAGAACGTGAGGGGACAGCGTGCGTTGAGACGCGGTACAAGAAAGGATAACCTTTCCAACAACCAGCGGCAATCAATATCATAATGCAACAGTTTATGAATAAATTTAACTATGTAAACAACTCTGCGTTGTTGTAGTGAAAGAAAACCAAACCGCGAAAGGAGAAGCGCGTAATCTGTACCCCTAGACGGGTAAACACGATCCAGTCGAAAGCATAGATACTTTAAAAATATCTTTTGTAAAGATTCAAGCGCATTCGCGTAAAACTGATAGAACGGATACCAAACAATTACCACATACTCCAACCGCGATCTAATCAACGCAAAATACAACGTACATAAACATCTTATGGACAGACCCCACAGTTCCGAACAATAAACCCATAAATTTTATAACAATTAGCAACTAAATTAAGAATGTGTTCGTTAAAAGTTAGTCCACTGTCAAACAGCACTCCAAGGTCAGAGCACTTACGTTCGGACATCAACGGTTGATTGGCCAAGTAATATGCACAGTCAATTGTGTTTAATTTTTTAGAAAATGTCATGGTAAAACATTTAGAAACATTAAGTGATAAACGGTTGCTAAGGCACCAATGCTCAACACGAATCAGGTTTTCTTGCAAGCGATCACAATCGCTGAGTTCCCCAACAGCCGAGAATAACTTCAAATCATCAGCAAATAGCAGCTTCTCACAATCCAAGATCTCGGTTACGTCATTAATAAAAGCCAGGAACAGCAATGGACCGAGGTTGGATCCTTGGGGAACCCCTGAAGTTGGAGAAAATCCTCTGGAAGTGAAGCCGCCATAATTAACAAACTGCTGCCGACCTAGCAAATAAGATTTCATTAACGACAACAGAGGGGCACTTAATCCAAAATTACTCAGCTTTTTTAATAAGATAAAGTGATCCAGCTGATCAAACGCCTTCCGAAAGTCGAGATACACAGCATCTACCGTCGATTACATCAGCAACAAATTGGGCGAAGCATGTCAGATTGGTGACAGTGGATCGACCACAAACAAATCCGTGTTGGACTGGGCTTATGTACTTGTTTAAATGATATGCGATGTGCTTGAAAAGAACGCTTTCAAAAGTCTTCGAGAAACCACACAGCAGCGATATAGGTCTGTAATTCACAATCTCAGCAGAGTTGCCCTTCTTCAAAATTGGACAGACGTATGACTCTTTCCATAACGACGGAAAGGTAGAAGTAGACAGGACCAGATTGAAAATCGAAAGCAATGGGGCGGCCAGAATCGAAGCACAGTCCTTCAGTAAAAAGCTCGGTATCCCATCAACTCCAGCAGTAAGAGTATTCTTTGTACGCTTCAGCGCATCCTCAACCAAACAAAGACTATAATCGGGTAAATCAAACTCGACAAAAACAGGATCAGATTGAATATAAACAGACTCAAAATAATCAGCAAAAGCATTATAACAAAAGCAGCATTATAACATATATAACATATTACCCTGTTTTTGAATTGTCCAATCTTTAAAGTCAATATAAGATTTTGATTTTCTTGAAATGATTGTACATGATTTGCCATAATGTAGTTTCCAATTATTTATTCCATATTATTGTGATTTTTAATATTTTACTATTGTAAGTGGAATTAATAAACAAAGTTATAAAAAAATTACGAGGATAAATATAAATATACATGTAAAATCGTATCTAATTGGGAGTTAACTTCGCATAGGTCAATTTCACATCAAATTTGTAAAGATTAAAACTTTTTTTTTTTTTTTGCAGACTTGGTTTTGGAAGAAGTGAGATCATTTGTCCCTCCACGACCTGAAGAGGTTATACCATAAACAGCAAGAAAAAGAAATAAATAAAACAACGCCTTTATAGATACTATATTATATTATATTATACATATATATATTTACATTATATATATAAGTGAAAAAAAGGTGTAGTAATAATGACATTGTAAAAATGCTTACGCTACTAATTACTTTGAAATAAACGAGTAAAAATTCGAGTTAACTATCTGTACTGAGAAAACAACAATGAAATTGGTCTATATAGAAAAATCACCAAATGAACGAATTTATTTGGTGTTATAAATTCATTCTCTTGTATGATTCACTACTAGATTTAGTGTATTATTTTTGAAAGGCACAAACGGAAACTCTAATATGCTACGAGTTAAACATATATTCATGCGTAGCACCAATTAAGATAATATGGCCGGGATAAGATAATGATGACGGTTACTTGCACTTGGTTAATCCATCCAATAATTTCTTCCAAAGTTCATATTGTTCTGCGCCTTTCACCATGTGAACGCTGATACCCTTTTGCACATTGCATGGTGTAAATGAAACGCGTTTATTGAGAAATTCTGGAACGAGTACGCGTTTTATTTTTAGGCTATCTGCGACAATTCCCGTTACAAATACATCTTCTAGTTTAAAATAGGGCTGCGTTAAAGCGGCGTTGTATAGTTCTTTCGCCAATCGGGCTGGCATTAAATACGCTGGACCTGTGGTAAAATCGGGAAACACGGAAGGCTTGTATTGACGTGGAGATATATAATACTTGGATTTTTTATTTCGGATCGGTTTCCATTTTTTCGCTAATCGACCGTAAATCGCCCTATCTTGGGGATTATGTTTCCCAACAAATGTCAATAGTTTCGGGACATTTATAAACATATCGTCGTCCGTTTTAAGTACAAAGGCCGCCTTCGGGCAATTTGAATCGACCCATTCGAGCATAGATATCGTTTTTAACGTTAAATTATCGTACGTATCAACAAATTTTCCACGAATTATATCCTGATACAAATACTGTTCACTTTCAATTTGCGTTCTTAAAGTCTCATTCGACGTGGAACCCAACATAAAGGCAACTGCAACGTCTCTTCGCGTCGCATAGTGACCCCAAGTTTGTCTGATTGCCATTCGCGCGCTTTCGTGACTTGGAGCGGAAGTTACCATCACCAATAACTGTATACCTACACCTTGATCTGGACATAGCTTTAACGGTATTTGAAGGTAACCGCTTTCATAAATTACTTTCGCTGGGATCCCTTTGGTTAAATCTGGTTGAGATTGGGCTCCTTCTATTGAAGCAATCGTTGAGCGATTGCTTGCGTTATTTTTGATAGGATTCGTTTCGTTTTTGTTTTGAGTTAATCCTATTTCTGATGATGTTGAGAGGTTCACAGATTTTGAAAATTCCAGCGACATCAACGTTAGAGGTGATTGGTATGTTATTACATGGAGGAAATATAATATTAGTGAACCAGTTAGTGCTATTATGGCTAAGTGCAAAGAACGCACTTGCGACAGCCATGGCAACCCCATAACTAAATTAATTAAAAATACTTCATTATTTAATTATTTTAACAATGATATTTGAACATACCAGTTTATGTGGGACAAAAAATGTACTTCAAAAAATAATATGATTCTCCTTTCCTTGATTTTAACCTCATGTTCTACAAAAAAAACGATATAACCTATACTATACAATACTACCTATACTGTTCTGTATTCTGTATAAGTATAGGATGTGGATATAACCTAACATTTTAACATGAAGTGAATTTCGTTTTATTATAACAAATAAATTACATCTTGTGAATGAAATATAAATAAATATGTACTTACTAATATCAAAATTCCTATATAACAACACCTCTTAGTAATATAAACTGGTCCATTTGGGGCGTAGATATAACCACCATTCTTAAATTTCACTTCAATTCCACAGAGAGATAACTAACTATTTCAATTTTAAATCAATTCCTTTGATCGTTGCAAACATTCACATCGTAACTTCCAAGGCGGAAGACGTAAGACATCCCTTTTAGACATAAAAACAAATTAATTAATAAACAACCATGTTTTCGTTTTAGAACGATCGAAAAGTGTTTATGATTCTTTCACGTTTTCTTGTTATTTCAAATCTTAACCATTTTAATATAATCAAATACTTATTTATGGAGAATTAAAGAGGAACTACATAGTACATGACAAAATTACAGTCAATTTTTGAGGGAGAAGTTAGGTAGTTTAGGTACGTGTCTTCTCGTTTGTTTTGCTAACAGCTCTTTGAATCGATTTTAAGCTGCGGGAGGAGAAAGGAATGACGTCATCAGGCTCTTATTCGAATTCATCTTTTAATATATCTTAAAATATCAACCTTTCAAAAAATATTCTTATTCATATATATAGCATACACCAATATAATACCAAGAGGATTAAGATAAATATGTATAATATCGGATATAGTCCAAAAAAATAAAATAAAGTTTTTGGGACGTCACTTCATTGAGATTATAGGCTTGAGAGGGGGGCTATAATAATATTACGCTGCTAGATTTATTTATAGCCCCAAAAACTTGCTAAGGATACATTATTTTTTTAACAACATTTAAATTAAGCAACTTAAATACTAGACACGTTCTATTTACTCATAATTTTTTTATTATTGATGTACAGTCAGTCGCAAAAGTCATCGTACACCAACTGTTTGTGGATGATTTCTAAAATATTATTCATTTTAAACGGTAAATTAAAAATTCCTCCTCACAAAAGAAATCGTACAGTTCGAAATGTTGCAATGAACGATGAAATCTGAGTATATTCTATTTTTTAACTCTTTCGGTCACCCAGTCCACTGTAGTGTAAACCGCTTTTCGATTTTTCCTTAATTTTTTCGAAATTAAAAAAAAATTCAAAAATTAAGAAAAAAAAATAAGTAATATGTGTACCAAATTTCATAATTGTATCACGACAAATAAAAAGTCGTGACTGAAAGGGTTAATTCGGAGGAGTGTTTTCAAATTGAAGCGCCAAAAAGAACGGTTGCTATTGGTCAATTTTAAGCAAAAATTATACTAGGAAAATTCGAGATGTTGCCGGCCGCCTTAGCCATACTGAAAGACGTGGAGGTAAAGCCGAATGATTCTAGTTCTAGGTCTTGTGTTAGTTCTAGTTATAGTGTTAGTATAAAACTAGAACTAACACTAGACCAAGAACTAGAAACATTCGGGTTTAGCCACACGTCTGTCAAGACGGCTAAACCCGAATGATTCTAGTTCTAGGTCTTGTGTTAGTTCTACTCCAAAACTAGAACTAACACAAGACCTAAAACTAGAAGCATTCGGGTTTAGCCGCACGTCTCTCAAGACGGCTAAACCCGAATGATTCTAGTTCTAGGTTTTGTGTTAGTTCTACTCCAAAACTAGAACTAACACTAGACCTGGAACTAGAAACATTCGGGTTTAGCCACACGTCTGTCAAGACGGCTAAACCTGAATGATTCTAGTTCTAGGTCTTGTGTTAGTTTAACTGCTAAACAAGAACTAACACTAGACCGAAAACTAGAAACATTCGGGTTTAGCCGCACGTCTCTCAAGACGGCTAAACCCGAATGATTCTAGTTCTAGGTCTTGTGTTAGTTCTACTCCAAAACTAGAACTAACACAAGACCTAAAACTAGAAGCATTCGGGTTTAGCCGCACGTCTCTCAAGACGGCTAAACCCGAATGATTCTAGTTCTAGGTTTTGTGTTAGTTCTACTCCAAAACTAGAACTAACACTAGACCTAAAACTAGAAGCATTCGGGTTTAGCCGCACGTCTCTCAAGACGGCTAAACCCGAATGATTCTAGTTCTAGGTTTTGTATTAGTTCTAGTGCAAAAATAGAACTAACACTAGACCTGGAACTAGAAACATTCGGGTTTAGCCGCACGTCTCTCAAGACGGCTAAACCCGAATGATTCTAGTTCTAGGTCTTGTGTTAGTTCCACTGCAAAAACAGAACTAACACTAGACCTGGAACTAGAAACATTCGGGTTTAGCCGCACGTCTCTCAAGACGGCTAAACCCGAATGATTCTAGTTCTCGGTCTAGTGTTAGTTCTTTAAACTAACTAGTTTAAAGGTTTGCTGCTATTTTTGGGGCACTTGTCAGAGGATTTGCGATAACTTCTTCTCTAATGCTTCGATGTACGTGGTGCATTTTGAATATTTCCGGTACCTACAAACTTTTTAATTATGTACTGAATAGTAGAAGCACTTTTGTCAAGTATTATAGCTATTTGGTCTTCTTGGCATAAATACAATAAAAATGTCGTGTCCATTCTTATCAGATATGAATTCGCATGTCATTAATACATGTCTCATAGAAGCCGTTTTACGGTTGGAAGATTACTATAATCACTCTATTTCCAAAAGTTAACTCTCCTAAGTGCTATACTGATTTTAGACCTATAAGCATTTTAACTGCTCTTTCTAAAGCACTAAAAAAAATAGTTTGTTCTCAGTTACGTGAACACCTACTCCTTTATGACATCATACCTGATAACCAGTTAGTGTTTAGACCGGATCATAGTTGATAATATTGTACTAATGGATGTTGTGGCTGGATATAATAATGATATTATTAGATTATTCCAAAGCTTTTGATATGATAAATCATCATTTGTTGTTAAGCATTATGCACCACATTGGTCTGGAACCATTGTAAAGGTGCAACGAAATAAGTGGAAAATTATTGCAGTAGTTTAAATAAAATAATATTCGAAGATTTTCTGGGTTGTCTGGCAATAGATCTTTTCTTATTAGTGAGGATAAGCTGCAAGATTAAGATAAGCTGATGACACCGATGTACTTTTTGTTATATATTCAATATGTTTGGAAGGGAAGGCATCTTTTCCAGTCCTTCTAGAGTATCACGAGGAACCGCAACCTGCATAGATAATATATTTACAGATTTAATAAACATCGAGGGAAAAACTACAAATCCACACTTATCTGATCATCTTGCGCAGATTGCTAAAGTAACAACAAAAATCACAAACATTACAAATATGAAAAAGATAAGATTAATTACAACAGAGAAAATACTTGAATTCAATCAGAGTCTTCGTGGGACGCAATGGCCAGATGGTCAAAAGACGTTGTCAAATGAATTTTCCTCCGGAACTGCAGAATAAAAAGAGAATATTGGATATATTGCGCACTCTGGCAATAGTTATGAACTTGCCTGAACATATAGAAATTTACAAGCGATACAAATTAGAATACAAGCAAGCAATTCAACAACAAAAAACTATAACTCTTTCCAACTTTATACAAAATAGCGACAATCGTTCTAAGGCCATTTAGAAACAAATTCTACCAAAAGAACGGTCCAACTCCGGATGACTTTAATAATTATTTTTGTGGGATTGGCAACCAGATGCACTCTGAACCTGGACCTGTGCTCTGTTCGGAAATTTTCGTGAAGAGAAGCAGGTCGCTCGCGAGTTCTATTTTCCTCACACCAGAAGATTTGATAGAGATCGGAAGTGTCATACAAAACCTAAAATCAAAAAATACATTAGACTTGTATGGAATTTAGAGACGAAATAGCAAAACCGTTAACAGATGCTCTCAATCAATGCATGTTAGATGGAATTTACCCAGAAGAATTTAAAGTTTCAAAGGTAGTGCCACTTTTCGAGAGTGGTGACAAAGCAATACAAGCAACACTATCCAAGGTCTTTGAACGAGTCATAAAGAAGCAACTGATTCACTTTCTTCAAATGCTGCGATCTGACAAAGGCTTTTTATTGCGTCGACCACCAGATTCTGCTCGCTACAGGAACTCCTCGGAAGGTCATCTACCTCAACCTACCTCATCAGAAGAATAAGGATTATCTCAACGCATGAAGCTGCTAGATCCGCTTACTTTAGTCACTTTAATTTCATACTTCAATATGACTCTATCAATATACTCTTAATCCAGCAAAAGGAAGCCCTTAGAGCTTTGGCGTGTGCAGGACCGCGAGATAGCTGCAGAAGCATATTTAAAACGATGCAAATATTAACTTCTTCATAAGAACAAAATGAGATATTCATCTCATAGTGATATCCACCAACATGACACTAGGCAGAAGAACAGGATACCGCATCAAAAGAGCACAACAAAGCACTAATTATATGTGCATAAAATTATATAATAAATTGCCACCAGGCTATTCTGTGTTGCCGTTGACCATCTTCAGAGGAAAAGTGAAGCGATTGTTACCACAATGCTCCTTTTACTCAATAGAGGAATACTTAAATTGCATTTTTTATCGAATATTATTATTATTTTTTTGTATTGTTGATTATTGTACGGACATTTCTTTGCGACAAATAATAGTATATTATTCAACAAGCGCATAATGGCGGCTGTAACCTACGAAGATGAAGACACGAGAGAGCGAAGCGAGCGAGTGTTGTAATCTGAGTAGGTAAAATCCATTATACGCAAGTTGATGACTTTATCTACAACAATTTAATTTTGAAAAAAAAATCAAAAAAAGGAAAAAAAAAAACTTGATAGACATTTCAGACCTCAATATTCATAACCTCAATATAAGAAAGCTGTCATTTCTGTTAATGTTTTATTTTTTGATTAGTAGGCTGTGTCAGAACTGTGGAATAATGGCTTCATTATTCAACACTTTGTCAGTCATGAGTAATGCGTGTCATTACCCGTCAAAAATAAAATGTATAACGAATAGATAATTCAATAGTTGTAGATAATAGTATATTATTACATGAGCATATAATGAGGGTATTATTCACGAAGGTTAAGTTTATGTCACAAGCGTAGCGAGGAAATGAATTTGTTTAGGTTTTTTTAATGTGAAACATTTAGAAACTCCTAAAAAATTGAATTAAATTCACGTTTTTTGAACTTTTAACGTTTCAAATAATTATTATTAGTCTGGTCAAAATGGCTACCCGTGGATAATGATTATTATTCATCGCTATTATTCACTCCGTGAAAAATGACTACCATTTTGTTTTAGAAAACTCATTCATAAGGTATATATTATTAGGTAGTCGTGGGCAAACATTATTATATTATATATTAATAATGAGATTGGCCTATGTTTACAAAGTTTTTGTAATTTAATTACAAAGTAATCAAGTATTAAATTACAAGTAATTTTGTACTTTTCTATATAATTTTTGTGATAAATTTTAATAATTTTTGTAATTCACTTGTAACATTTCTTCTTATTATTAAAGTAAATTTGTTTATATCAATAAAGTTTTAGTTTCTTTTCGTTTTATAATTTTTTCTTCAAATTATACTTATTTTTTTATTATTACGTTTTTGTATTTTATTTTTTTTTACTTATACTTGTAAATTAATTGTAAGGGTTAATAAAGGCATTATTATGATATAAATCGTTGATGTACGATGACTTTTGGTACTGACTGTATATCTTATCTCGAGTGTTTTATTGCATTAAAGTTGATAACAAATAAAATAGATCTAAGGTTTAAATTATTTTTTTAATGAAACGAAATTTTGGGTAAATCTAAAAATGTATAAAATTTTTTAATTTACAAAATAAATGATTGATGTAGATTTTAAATAACTCAAGGTTAAACTCAAGTAATTAGATGAATCATATTTTATTTAAACAACTAAGGTTGTCATCATCTTTAATTTTTAACTTCTTCGTATTAATTCGCATTTTTTCTGTTTTCTTAATTGAATGTTTACACGGGATAATGACGTTGACATATTCTGCATGCTTTGTTTGTTGTGTTTATAAATATATTTATAGATAATTTTATCTACAAAGTGGTGTTTTTCTGTAATAAATAAATAATTTCTGTTGTTTTCATTTTCATCACGCGTACTCCGGAAGTATAATGAGAGGTCACAGTTCGTTGTTGTTTACGTTTTACAACAATGGGATCGTTATCTTTTGCTATTTAGAGAAGGCTGAATAATAAATCGTTTTTTTGTTACGATCAGCTATACAACGGGTGATTGTCAGTTCATCTCACGGTGCGTTTTAAATCGCAATCTATAAAGATACTGTAAAATATCGGTTATAGGTTTCATTTACAAATAGGTGATATAACGTAAGTTTCTTGCTTTTCTAATTAAATGTATTTATTAAAAAAAAATTTATTTCAGAAAATGAATAAATTGTGTAAACAACTTTCGATTGAATCACCTGGTGTTGTCACACAGGAATGTGTTTTTAACACAACAGTTGAAGTGCCAGAAATACCACCAAATGGGGCATTAATAAAAGTGATTTGTGCAGGTGCTTGTTATCGTATGCAAAAAACGCCTTCTTTAATTAACACACCAGAATCCCCAATAACTTGCTGTGGATTTCGAGATGGGGCTTTGTTTCCTGGATACGAAGTATCAGGAATTGTGGAAGCTTTAGGTTCAGAATCTTCAAACCCAGAGATTCAAATTGGGTCAAGAGTGGTTGTGTATCCTTATGAAGATGTTCCTAATGGTTATCCAGAATTTATGGTTGTTCCTGACTTGAAATATTTAATTCCAATTCCTAATTCAATGTCATTAAGTGTTGCTGCAATGCTCCCTACAGGCGCTCTTTTAGCAAAAAATGCTATTCTTAAAGTTAAGGAACATTATGATGAACATGAAAGAAGTAAATCAGGAAGGGTTTTTAAAGTTTTGATTGTTGGAACTGGTGGGTTAGCTTTATGGGCGGTTAAAATTGCGGAATATTATTTTAAAAGTCCAGAATATAAAGATAAAATACAAATAACAGTTGCTTGTTTGAATGATGAGGGGTTCTATCTTAATGAGCTTAAAAAGTAAGGTTGTGGAATACTTCAAAACATCTCTTAATTTAATATTTTCTATTTTTTAGGGTTAATTTAGTGCAATGGAATGAAGAAATATTTGAGGAAGTTTTACATGAACGAACATTAAATGCTTGTAATGGATTAGTGGATGTGGTAATCGATTTTGGCACAACATCCAGATCTTTACTTAGATCCTTGCAATGCTTAAACAGAAGAGGGGTGGTTTATGTAACACATGAAGTTGCTGAAAGTTTATTACCAAAATTTTGGAAGATTTTAAAAGAGGACCAACTGTTTGTTTGCCCCATTGATGATGGAACATTATCTCAATTAAAAGATTTGATACAAACTGTTGCAAGACATGAGGTAATTGTTTAATAATCATTTTTTAATTTGTTTCTATTTAAAACCATTTTTTAGATAATTCCACCATCTCATACTGAATTTCCAGCAGATGCAGCTTCCATTGTTGTTAAAAAACTTTCACAATCTGAAATACAAGGGAGAGCTATTTTAAGATTTCATTATGATAGTCAATAAGTGTAATACATATAATTATTATCATCATTTGTGATATTTAATGCGCTTTTATTTTAATATAGTTCAGACAATTTTAATAACACAGTGAGATTTTACCTAAGCCGTTATTTAAATCTAATAAAATTAATGTTGTAACTAAATAAAGCAGTTTTTTTATAAATAAAAAAAAATAATCAAAATATGTCAATACAAAATTTTTTTTTTAGTAGTTGGCAGCACTGAAAATCGCCATTTCTACACTTCTTCACGCCGTGTGTAAGTCAGTTAAACGCGAAGTTACTTTCTCATCAGCTTCGATTAGTTTCGGGTTATAGAAGTTAAAATCAAACGATTAAAATAATTCTGATGGCGGAAATCGATTCGGTTAAAGTTGAAAGTTCGAACGATAACCACCCGGAAGAATCTTCCTCGCATAATACTAATGGCGACAATGATGGCCCCCAACAACAGCAACAACATTTTGGGGAAAGAGGTCCAAGACGTGGTGGTCCAGGACGATTTGGTAAACGAAGAGGCGGAGGGGTAAAAATAGTTTTTATTAATTTTTATGAACAAGTTTGAGAATCATAATGTGGCTTAAAAATCGACGATTTTTTTTTAATCAATGTGAAATGATTCAAAAAATACGTTAAAAATAAAAAAAAGTGCGTTTCCATGCATAACGACCAACTACCTGTCGTTAGATAGACTGCGTGTCAATAGACTCTGTGTTAAAATTAGAACTAACACTAGAGTGAAAACTAGAAACATTCGGATTTAGCCCCACGTCTCTCAAGACGGCTAAATCCGAATGATTCTAGTTCTAGGTCTTGTGTTAGTTCTAATGCAAAACAAGAACTATTTAAGAGTAGACCGAAAACTAGAATCATTCGGGTTTAGCCGTCTTGAGAGACGTGCGGCTAAATGCGAATGTTTCTAGTTCTAGGTCTAGTGTTAGTTTTAGTTTTGGACTAGAACTAACACAAGATCTAGAACTAAAATCATTCGGATTTAGCCGCACGTCTCTCAAGACGGCTAAACCTGAATGATTCTAGTTCTAGGTCTTGTGTTAGTTCTAGTGATATTGTTAGTCTAAAACTAGAACTAGAAAGTATCTGGTTTATCCGTACGTCTTAACCCAACCCGGAATTTACAACCCACCCTCTCGTAGTCCATGCCCAACTCGACATACTTACTTTTACAAACAAAGGACAAGTCAATAGACATAACATGCACTACTGGAGCGTTGAAAATCCGAGATGGTTGCGTGAAGTAGAACATCACCGACCTTGGTCGGTTAATAGTTGGTGTGACATAATTGATGATAAATTGATCGGTCCATACTTTATTGATGATATGCTGAATGGGGAGAAGTACCGAAATTTTTTAGATGACGTCTTACCAACATTACTTGTAGATTTGAGCAGGGAAGAAAGACAAAGCATGTGGCTGCAAAATGATGGGCGTCCAGCACATTTTTCACATATTACACGTGAAGCTTTAGATCGGGATTATGCTGTGCGATGGATTAGAAAGGGAGGTCCAATTTCCTGGCCTGCCAAATCACCTGATTTAACACCTCTTCATTTTGTGGGGCGTCCTTAAAGATAATGTTTATCGCGAAGTACCGACTACGCCAGAAAACATGAAAGAGCGGATAAGAAATGCATGCAGAAATAGTAGCCAAGAAAACCTTTTAAGATGTAAAGACAGTTTTAGTAGAAGGGTTAATAAATGTATAGTAAATTTAGTTTAATTTATGTCAAGTAGAATACAATTTTGTTATTCTTTTTTTATAATATAATAAATTTAAATCGAGTTTGAAATTTAATCAAGTTTGTAAAAAATATTACAGCGTGGGTGAATATGTGACCTTCGGCAAAATGTTATTAGCATGAAGATGTTGCTCTACATTCCAAATAAACCAAATAAATATGGGATAAGAATATTTTCTTCAGTGATTACAAGAACCTTTTACACATCGCATTTGGAGTTTTATGGTGGACTACAACCTACAGGATCCTTTCAAGTGAACAATTCTGCAGCCTCAGTCATTATGAGAATGACCAACCATATTTCGGGAACAGGACGGAATATTACCATGGACCACGTCGATTGTTGCATGGACATTGCATAACAGTAGTTAGTACAATCCAATCCAATCGAAAATCATTGCCGAATGAAATTAAAAATGTCAAGGGTAGGGCTGCACGGTCTTCAGTTTTCGCGTTCCATGCTGATATGACGATAACATCGTAAATACCCAAAAAATCCAAGAATGTTTTAGTTGTATCATCAATGCAGTATGATGGCAAAATCGACGAAAATTCCGGTGAAAATAAAAAACCAGATATTATAACATTCTATAATAAATAATAATACAATCAGTGGTGTTGATGTAGTTAATAGAATGATTACATCTTACAACATTGCTCGAAACACAAGGCGGTGGCCATTGGTGGTTTTCTGAATGTAGCAGCAATCAACGTATTCATAATAAATAAAAGTAATAATCCTGATGGCGAACTTTCAAAAAGCAGGCGACTGTTTTTGGAGCAGCTGGGCAAGAAATTAGTTTTAGAAAATATGAGCTAATAAACCGAACCTACCGCGGAACGTAAGCGGTTCAACTATCAGGACTCCCAACTTCAAAAGAATCTCAAACGGTTTTGATTGGTCGACAAAGGAAAATCGAAATATTTTTGCAAGTTTTGTGGTACTTGCATCTGTTTGGAGCATTCAAATCCATGCTGCACCGACTGCGCAGAGAATTTTGTTTAAGATGTTTGACCATCTACATTTTGTGCATAGACTGTATATATATATCAAAATTAATTTTTTTTTGTGTTTATTGAACATTTTAGTTTGCGTTTAGGAAAAAATTTTTGTCCAAAACTAAAACTAACACTAGACCTAGAACTAAAATCATTCGGATTTAGCCGCACGTCTCTCAAGACGGCTAAACCCGAATGATTTTAGTTCTAGATCTTGTGTTAGTTCTAGTGCAAAAATAGAACTAACATTAGGTCTAGAACTAGAAACAATCGGGTTTAGCCGCACGTCTCTTAAGTCGGCTAAATCCGAATGATTCTAGTTCTAGGTCTAGTGTTAGTTTTAGTTTTGGACTAGAACTAACACAAGATCTAGAACTAAAATCATTCGGATTTAGCCGCACGTCTCTCAAGACGGCTAAACCCGAATGATTCTAGTTCTAGGTCTTGTGTTAGCTCTAGTGATATTGTTAGTCTAAAACTAGAACTAACACCATACCTAGAACTAGAAAGTATCTGGTTTATCCGTACGTCTTAACCCAACCCGGAATTTACAACCCACCCTCTCGTAGTCCATGCCCAACTCGACATTTAAGAAATTCGCACTGATTTAAATGTTAATTAACCTAACTCAAAGTGGAATTTCTACACAAAATTCTGAAATAAATCAGTAAATTAGGTGGATCGGAATGTAACGTTTAACCCTCCAGTTGACGGGTGTGTGGTTTAAAAATCACACTATTCGACGGGCTGGGTCCCTCAGACCCGAAGTTTGATGCTTATTCCTCCCACAATAACACAATAAAATATTGAGTTTATTATATTCTACTGTTAGTCTGTCCACAGAATACAGAAAGGAAGCTTACTTTGGCGGGAACCTTTACGCAGGTTTTGTCGCGCACACGGGTAGCCATATTGAAAAGGTACAAAAGGTACGAAGGACGGATGATAAATAAAGCCGTCCATCTCACTCTAATGAAAAATTTATTTGATATTGCAATAATTAACTTAAAATTAAGGCTAAAGGTGATAGTAAAAGTTAAACGTACAAATTTATTGGTGAAAATACATTTGGAGTCACAGCACAGGTCAAAAAGCAGTAAATAGGGGATATTTTATAATGTAAAAAATTTATACAAAGCGGTCACTCAGCCTATATTCTGTGTCGATTTTAATTCAAGTTTAACGGTTAAGAATCTAACCCCTTTTTAAGATGGCGGAGGTCATTCGAAAATCAGATTGTCGTAAACAAAAGAAAGTGGCGGAGCTTCCTTTCTGTATTCTGTGGTCTGTCTTATTTTGTACTGCTGAAAGTAGAAATAGTTATCAAAAAATAATTGCCCAAAAAGTTATTATTTATTAGAAAAAACGTTACATTTAACGTACTTTACACAAAAAAGTGTAAATAAAAAAAATTTGAAAACAATATAAGAAAATTTTTTTCCTAAATGCAAACTAAAATGTTCAATAAACACAAAAAAAAAATAATTTTGATATATATACAGTCTATGCACAAAATGTAGATGGTCAAACATCTTAAACAAAATTCTCTGCGCAGTCGGTGCAGCATGGATTTGAATGCTCCAAACAGATGCAAGTACCACAAAACTTGCAAAAATATTTCGATTTTCCTTTGTCGACCAATCAAAACTGTTTGAGATTCTTTTGAAGTTGGGAGTCCTGATAGTTGAACCGCTAGTCCTCTTACGTTCCGCGGTAGGTTCGGTTTATTAGCTCATATTTTCTAAAACTAATTTCTTGCCCAGCTGCTCCAAAAACAGTCACCTGCTTTTTGAAAGTTCGCCATCAGGATTATTACTTTTATTTATTATGAATGCGTTGATTGCTGCTACATTCAGAAAACCACCAATGGCCACCGCCTTGTGTTTCGAGCAATGTTGTAAGATGTAATCATTCTATCAACTACATCAACACCACTGATTGTATTATTATTTATTATAGAATGTTATAATTTCTGGTTTTTTATTTTCACCGGAATTTTCGTCGATTTTGCCATCATACTGCATTGATGATACAACTAAAACATTCTTGGATTTTTTGGGTATTTGCGATGTTATCGTCATATCAGCATGGAACGCGAAAACTGAAGACCGTGCAGCCCTACCCTTGACATTTTTAATTTCATTCAGCAATGATTTTCGATTGGATTGGATTATACTAACTACTGTTATGCGATGTCCATGCAGCAATCGACGTGGTCCATGGTAATATTCCGTCCTGTTCCCGAAATATGGTTGGTCATTCTCATAATGACTGAGGCTGCAGAATTGTTCACTTGAAAGGATCCTGTAGGTTGTAGTCCACCATAAAACTTCAAATGCGATGTGTAAAAGGTTCTTGTAATCACTGAAGAAAATATTCTTATCCCATATTTATTTGGTTTATTTGGAATGTAGAGCAACATCTTCATGCTAATAACATTTTGCCGAAGGTCACATATTCACCCACGCTGTAATATTTTTTACAAACTTGATTAAATTTCAAACTCGATTTAAATTTATTATATTATAAAAAAAGAATAACAAAATTGTATTCTACTTGACATAAATTAAACTAAATTTACTATACATTTATTAACCCTTCTACTAAAACTGTCTTTACATCTTAAAAGGTTTTCTTGGCTACTATTTCTGCATGCATTTCTTATCCGCTCTTTCATGTTTTCTGGCGTAGTCGGTACTTCGCGATAAACATTATCTTTAAGGACGCCCCACAAAATGAAGAGGTGTTAAATCAGGTGATCTGGCAGGCCAGGAAATTGGACCTCCCTTTCTAATCCATCGCACAGCATAATCCCGATCTAAAGCTTCACGTGTAACATGTGAAAAATGTGCTGGACGCCCATCATTTTGCAGCCACATGCTTTGTCTTTCTTCCCTGCTCAAATCTACAAGTAATGTTGGTAAGATGTCATCTAAAAAATTTCGGTACTTCTCCCCATTCAGCATATCACCAATAAAGTATGGACCGATCAATTTATCACCAATTATGTCACACCAACTATTAACCGACCAAGGTCGGTGATGTTCTACTTCACGCAACCATCTCGGATTTTCAACGCTCCAGTAGTGCATGTTATGTCTATTGACTTGTCCTTAGTTTGTAAAAGTAGACTCATCCGAGAATAGCACGTTACCAAAGAAATTGACGTCCAACCGCATTCGTTCTTGTGCCCATTGACAAAATATTAATAGATTTTCAAAATCACCTCCATAAAGCTGTTGATGTAATGAAATGTGGTATGGATGATACTTGGTGCGCTTTAATATTAATGCAAAAAGCCGTTTTGAAAAATCACCTTCAGTTCTTGAGAAATAAATTTTTGAAATGATCAATAATTTTTTTAAATTTTGCAGTTTTCGCCAATTAAGTTTTAATAACTCGTATAAAATTGATTTCTTGGAATATGAGTATAAAACTTGCCCAAAATGTTAATAAAAATGTCCTCTTTCCAATGAATCAACCCGTTTTGAAAAATAACTTTTAGTTTTGATAAAATTTTTGATGTTGCAATTTTCATCGATAATTTTCAAAATTCGCTATAAAATTTATTTCTTGAAGGATCCTTCTGGTAATACCATCAAGTATTAATTAAAGTGTCCTCTTTTTAATGCAAATAGCCGTTTTGAAAAATCACTTTCAGTTTTTGAAAAATAAATTTTTGAAATTTTTTCGAATTTTACAATTTTCGCCGATTAAGTTTTAATAACTCGTATAAAATCGATTTCTTGGAATATGAGTATAAAACTTTCCCAAAATGTTAAGAAAAGTGTCCTCTTTCCAATGAACCAACCCGTTTTGAAAAATAACTTTTAGTTTTTGAGAAAACAATATTTGAAGTTTTGATACAATTTTCGATGTTGCGATAACTTTCAAAATTCGCTATAAAATTAATTTCTTGAAGGATCCTTGTGGAAATATCACCAATTATTAATTAAAGTATCCTCTTTTTAATGCAAAAAGCCGTTTTGGAAAATCATATTTATGATTTATTTGAGTGATTTTCTTATTTATGATATGATACTTATTTATGCTTATTTGAGTGATTTCCCGTCGATTAAAAATAAAATTAATGATTTTTAAGCGACATGATTATTCTTGAATTATACCGTTTTTTATTAATTATTATTAATTTTTAAGAATCCTGACAATCGTGGCCGTTTTCAAAGAAAAGATCAACACCAAGGCGATGATTTTAATTCAGGCCCGCCTGGTCGTCAAAATGAACGTATATTCTATGATAAATTAATGGAGATATCCGGCCCTAGTTACGATCTTCCTCCTATTCAAAATGAGGAAAAAAAGTTTTCGGGAAGGAGTAGATTATATATTGGTAATATTTCGACCGATTGTGAAGATAACGATATCTTAGAGCTTTTTAAACCTTACGGTGAAACAAGCGAGCTGTTTGTTAACAGAGAAAAATGTTTTGGATTCATTAGAATCGACTATCATTTTAATGCTGAACGAGCGAAGAATGAGTTAAACGGTAAAGTGATTAAAGGTCGTACTTTAAAAATAAGATTTGCTCCGAATAGTTTAACTATAAAGGTAAAGAATTTGGACGAGTTTGTAACTAACGAACTTCTACATGTAGCGTTTTCTATTTTTGGAGAGATTGATAGAAGCGTGGTTATTGTGGATGATCATGGAAAATCGATTGGTGAAGGCATCGTTGAATTTACACGTAAAAGTAGCGCTCAATTCGCTTTGCGAAAATGCCAAGACGAATGTTTCTTTTTAACATCAAGCATTCGACCGGTTTACGTTGAACCTTACTTAGCACAGGACGAAATGGACGGTTATTCAGAAAAATTTGTACCAAAACGTAACCCAGATTTTATACAACAACGTAAAATTGGCCCCCGTTTTGCAGAGACTAATTCGTTTGAGCATGAATACGGAATGCGCTGGAAACAACTTAATGAATTGTACAAGCAAAAAATGGAAGGTCTCAAAAAAGAACAAGAAATTGAACAGGAAAAGTTATTAGCGCAGATGGAGTTTGCGCGTTACGAACATGATACAGCTATGTTACGCGAACAACTTCGCGCGAGGGAGATGGACATGGGTAGGCAAAAACGCGAATGGGAAATGAAGGAACAGCAAGTGGAGGAGGCGAGAAGGAGAAGTGAGGAGGTGATGCGACGTCAACAAGAAGAGATTGAGTCGAGGATGATGCATCAAGAAGATGAAATGCGGCGTCGTCAGCAAGAAAATAGCTTATTTCTCCAGGCTCAACAATTAGATAACATGCTCAAGGATCAAGGTGGATTTGAGGAAGGGGGATGTATGTTTAACCAGGTAATTTATGTTTTTGTGTTAACACTTTGCTTTTTGTTTCCGATCATAGCTGCACCACCAAATAAATTGGTAAGTGGTGCTATTAACACTTTATTTTAGAAAAATATATAGAGGGGTTATGAGAAAAGGATTCATTTCTTGTTCAATATTCTTGTATCATTGGTGTCTTAATTAATTAATATTAAAAGAGTTATTGCAATTTATTATATCTATTTTATTATAGTCTCAATCTCTGATGCAACTATAAAAATGCTATAACTCGCGGCAATATTATATTTATATATATCTTTTCTTTCAGTGATTATCGATAATCACAAACGATCGCGGCTATATAATACACGTTTCTTAATAATAATAGCTGAATCTTTTATAAAATATGACATATAATATCGTTTACTAGATTCGCGAAATCTACACAAATCATTCTTATAAATTATCGTTGCAATAACTCGATATTTAATCCTTTTCTCATTCCCTTGTTTACATAATTATTTCTTCCTAACAGAACTGGACTAAAAAATTCGCGACCAATTTTATTTTATTAGCCCAGATTATGCCGATTTTATGAGTTGACGTCGACACCTATTCGTTGGATGAATAAGAATTAGATTACGAACTCCAATACATCTATATCATCGTTGCGTGTTTTAAAAGTGTAGCTTTTATCGAAGAGAGAAAGAATGGGATTATTAATCTTCTAAGAAAACAAAGACAGCGGCATAATCTGGGTTAAACTCGGTTTTTCTTTGATTGTGCCAACAAAAGTATTTAAGTCGCGGTATTCATCATATTGATTTGCTTTTGTAGCATAACCGCTCAAGTCATATCCTTTCCTAACGCGTCCTTTTACACTGTAATATTGGCTGTAAATGCAAAAACTTATCTATCAACGTCTAATTAAAACTTTTGATTATTATTAAATGTAAACGAAAAAGTATTACAAATTTAGCGGTATAAATTCTTGTTCGTAATCGATTTCTTTCTACATTTTCTTTCAACGTATCAATAAATCTATTTGAGGTAACCTTGCTACAGTAATAACATCACAATTGTTTCAGTTTATAGATCGCGTTATAGAAAATATCTAATAAAAATCTATTAAGCTTAACTCAAGGAGTTTATACCAGAACCGGGTGTTTCAGAATTACATGGCGTATTTTAGGTATGTATTCTTCAGCACAAAATATAAACATATGTCTAAAATTAATTTATTACCGAGATATTTAAAGTTGATGATTAAATCTACTATTAAATGTGTTTTTCTAGTGCTGTACGAAAATAGTATATTATTCAACAAGCGTATAATGGCGGCTGTTACTCACGAAGATGAAGTTGCATTGTAATCTGAGTGGGTAACATCCATTATACGCAAGTTGAATACTATACTTTATCTACAACTATTTAATTTTGAAAAAAAAAATCAAAAAAGAAAAAAAAAAACTTGATAGACATTTCAGACATAACCTCAATATAAGAAAGCTGTCATTTCTGTTTGAATATTTTATTTGTCCACGACTACCTTATAATATATACCTTATGAATGAGTTTTCTAAAACAAAATGGTAGTCATTTTTCACGGAGTGAATAATAGCGGTGAATAATAATCATTATTCACGGGTAGCCATCTTGACCAGACTAATAATAATTATTTCAAACGTTAAAAGTTCAAAAAACGTCAATTTAATTCAATTTTTTAGGAGTTTCTAAATGTTTGACATTAAAAAAACCTAAACAAATTCCTTTTTTCGTATGATTTAAGCATAAATTAATTAATTTTCGTAAAGAAAACGACGTTTTATAAAACTGACATTTAATTTTGACAAATTGTTGTGAAGTTAATTACAGTTAGTAACATTGAATTTGTGTCACATTGACGTTTAACCTTTATTCAAAAATTTATTTAAAAAATAAATTTATGGAATCAATTTCAATAGTCGTGGACAAAGTATAGTATTCTAGTCGCATATAATGAGCTATTATTCACTCAGGTTAATTATGCTCGTTATATAAACTTAACCTTCGTGAATAATAGCCCTCATTATATGCTCATATGTCAGAACTGTGGAATAATGGCTTCATTATTCAACACTTTATCAGTCACGAGTAATGCGTGTCATTACCCGTCAAAAATCAAATTTATAACGAATAGATAATTCAATAGTTGTAAATAAATGTATGTATGCACAGGAAAAAATATAGAGTAAAAATCAACTCTAAAACATGGTTCAGATCGGTCCAATTTATTTAGAGTTATTTTTTTGCACTATATAGTGTAGGTGAATAGATTAAAAATTTACACTAAATAGTGAGAAGATGGTGTTTATTAAATAGTGTAAAATCGTTACTCTATAACAGTGTATTATATGTAATCTAACTAGATGTTGTCGTGACTCTAATTAGATACATTTCTAATCTAATCAGTGTAAATTATTAAAAATTCGCTCTAATTTTACTCTATTAATTGACAAAATATCACTAAATAGTGTGTATCTTACACTTATTAGTGTTAATTTTTAATAGGAAGTGGAGTATTTTTAGGGAAGTTTTACGTTTGTAATAAAAATCAAAATTATAAAATATTTGTTTTTATTTTTACTTGTAATATATTGTTATAACTTAAATT